ACTGTGCACTATCATCTTTTTTAAATGTAGATGTGGCCGGCCTTAGCCTTTGTCCACTCAGTTTTAGGGTTGGCACTGAGGTTTAACCAGGTTTGGCTGAATGTCAGGATTTTACATGAGACGATTGCCATCAGCCATATACAAACCACTATTGTATTATTTTTGAAATTTTTAAATCGCTATATCTACCCTGCGAGTGAAATCGCAAATGATAATAATAATAAGCAGTCTTCTAAGTCTGTAAAATGTACTCTTCATTAAAAAGGAAGTATCATTATCACTCATCATAAGTGGGAAACCAATCTCTAAATCCTACTGCATTTCCTTATCGTTAACGATATCTGATTGAATCGTTCCGTAATATAAACAATATTTCGTCTCATTATTGGTGTTACCGGCAGGCCAAAACACCAATGTTTGGTATAGTATACATTGCGGTATTTGTAGAGAGTTTGTTGGTTCAATAGTGAATAAAAGCGGTGTTGGATATTGCTTGGTGTTGGTCAGCCAACATTTGAAAGGCTGGTTGGATCTCCAAGAGACGTTGCGTGCCGGCTTCTTAGTACGGTTTGAAACCTCGAAGACGGTGCTTGTATAGTTCGTCGCGGAATAATTCGTTTGGTTTATCGTATTTTTACGACGGAACAAAATGAATTTCGAAATGTAACGCGCTAACACTGTTACCGAGTTCAATTTGTGCTCAGTTTTGTGTGAAAATGATTGAAGTAATCGGTAATGTGTGATTTTATATTTGTTACGTATTATTTTTGTATGGAAACGTTGGGAAATATTGCTTTGACATTTTATAAGTAAAATTAACTTCGAAATCCAGTAAGGGTTTTTGTCCTATCTGTATTATATCTTGCCTGTCTGCATGTCTTTTGTCTGGTTTTTTAAATAGTACTTACTAACTTACTTTCTGAAAAACAAAATTATTAAATAATCTAATTCCTCATATCAGTTTTGTGTGATAACTAACGCAATTTCGAATAGTAAACATGTATTTCCAATATTTATATTTATGTATTTACCAATAATTGAGCGTCCTGAACTTGTATCAGAACTACTCCTCATCAACTTAATAAACGATATTACCTATGTAGCTATGTGTAGTCTATCTTACATAATTATGAAAAAAAAAATATCTTGATTAATTCCAAGTGATCAACTATTGTACCTAATAGGCAGACGGTGCAAAAAATCATTTCTATTTTTTATCAATCGTAGCCATTCGCGGCTGTTCTTTAATCATTCATCACAAATGTTTATGGCTCTGCAGATTATTTATTGAGGTAACTTTATCAAGGAAATCCCAATAAGTATTTACATAATATTAAAGCGCTGTTTTACGAGAAGCTGTTGTGATGACTACGGTAGAGTAGAATACTTTTGTGACCATCACCATTACCACCTCTGCTTTCGTAAGAGGACTAAGGGACTACACATGCAATAGGGCAGCAGCGCTTTGATAAGTCTGACGCCCGAATACTGAAAGGCTACTCAATTTTAGTTGTACTTAAACTGTCAAACACCGCGAGGATACTGTTGACCGCAACCTATTATTCTTTAAGGTCTCAAAGAAGACGGTACTCAAAGGGTTAAATATCCTGCCATCTCTGTAATTTTCAAAGAATAGGGTAGATACCTAATTTTTATTTTAATGCCCGTCTGGTACATTATTTTAAATCATTAGACACGTATTTTCTATTTTCTAACAGAAACGAATATTTTCGACGATATATTGATTTGAAATGTCGCGTGACGTCACTTCTATGTACATTTTATACGTAAAAATAACGTTTTAGCCCCCACTCCTAAATTTGATTCGTTTTTATCTAAGTATTGTTTTATTATACGACAAAATAAAACTTACGGACTAATTATATTTTTAATTTTCATACCCTGTCATCATCCCAATTTGGAGTGGTAGACCTGTACCTACTTAAGCACGTTTTAAAATTAAATGGCGTTTGATTATTTGGACATGAATCTTTTACCCTGTGATCTCCAACGTGCCTGCCAAATGGAAATATGACAGTAAACTTTCTTATATAGGGTGTACTTCCAATAGATTATGGTCAAAAACAAGTTTCATTTTACTAAAGTAAGAAATTAAGTGTTTCTTTTATGTATTAAAAGTTCAAGGCCGATATTGTATGAATAACACAAACGATTAAAATTGAGAAAACATTTTTTTTTGTCAGCGTTTTTCGGGAGTTCTCGGTTTACAATATAGAAGAACGTATATGTGGTCTGTCAGGGGCAGTTCATGTTGTTTGACGAGTTAATCAATAACCTATATCTACATAATATAATGTACTAACGACCCGCCCCGGCTTCCCACAGGTGCAATATGCATGTATTATACATATAACCATTCCTTAAGAATCATTCTATCTATTAAAAAAACACATCAAAATCCGTTCCGTAATTTTAAAGATCTAAGCATACATAGGGACAGGACAGACAGACGATGGATAGCGACTTTGTTTTATACCTCAACTATGTAGTGATAGTGATTTGAAACAGTAGGTACCTACATAAATAATCTTTTATGTATTTTATAGGTGCCTAAGCAATTGTGATGTAGATGCCAACGTTGGATGTTGCTAACGTAATTTATTTTTTTATTAATGGATTTCTTTTTTGTTTTTAAAGCAATTGACTTTGATCATCTCAGCTCTGTTGTACCTATTAAATAAAATATATATTTTAGAATATTTAATGTTAGAATAGTTAGGTAAAGTTTAGGATTTTAAACAAAGATTACGTACACATTTTAAAATAAATTCGCATATTGTCATTCTGGGGTTTGTGGCGCGGCCCCGACTCGAAGTAGGAGTAAGAGTCAACACTCCCTATCGCCTCACTCAGGGCAGAACGAGTTATTTTATGATTATCCACCCACAAAAAAGGTTAATCAAGCAATAGTATATAGTAATGCAGTATTTAACCTGCTACCCTCTTTAGAAAAGGGTTGATCATAATCCAGAGAACTTAGCAGATGACTTGGGGATCGTAGTAAGGTCACCTAAAAATTAAAATACATAAATGCCTACATAGGCACGCACACCCTGTGGTGGCTGATCGCCGGCGTATGTCCTCAAACTCCTAAAAGGCCTAATAGTAACCCGTCCAGTGTTTGACCGCCTTCAAAACGTAGGTACTGTGTTATGCGACGTTGGCGCATAAGACACTCGATGGGTTAATGGGAACCGAAAACAGAAATAAGAATATCTACGTAATATTTTGCATAGCTTTCAAAATAGGAGGTTTCTCAATTCGACCATATTTTTTGGTTACTGTAGCTAATAGTTTAGAAAAGTTTTTACTTATTTAGAGTGCGTACATTAATAGGAATTGTTATCTCAACAGGTCTTTAGTAATCACGTCACGTGCCACTCTTATTTTCATTATTGTTAATGGCCAAGGACATTGCGGTTTGCGGCCAGTTTTCCTAAATAGGTATTTATTTACGGTATTTGAACTCACATACACATGTATTCATGTAGGTACTATGTAGGTACATCCATTTACATACGTACCGTGAACATTTCGATTTAGTTACTCGTGCATTGAGAAAATAGAGGTCATTGCATAGAAGCAGAATACCTATTATTTTTGTTGTTTTTTGCTGCAGTTTTAAGTTCGAGGTGAATTATTATTGAATCATTGTCTAAACACACTCAACTGACATTAGTATGTTATGCTAACCTGGTCACACAGTCAGGGTAAGTTTCAGTTCCAGACAGCTTGTTATAAAAATAGATTCTCCAGTCCAGCTAGGCTATTCCGGAAGATGTCAATTTGAACTCTCGAAGTGAGATCGATCGAGGTCCGCCATGTTATTGGTTGTGAGAATGATCTCGACCAATGACGGACGAGAATGCGATCGAGATCACTTCGAGACTTCGAATTGAGATTGATAAAATACATTGACGATTATAGATAAGAAAAAAAAGTACACAGTACAAAAATAAAGTACAATTTATTCTTATTTAGTATTATATTTAAAAATATATTTTTTATTGCTTTTTGCAGTTTGTATTAAATTAGTCCTTTTACTAAACAATTGCATTGAAATACTAAACAATTGCATCTTTACTAGAAATTGTCTAAGTGGCGCTGGCGAATTATCGATTCAACATAAATCGATAAATATCAATATCGAATCGATAAGTTTACCGAAAAATACTTACGACTTTAATAGAAATGAAGTTTGCAAAAATAAAGTATTTTCGTGTACTTTATTCTTCTTATAAAGTATAGAGTACAATTACCTTAAATAACGTACAATACTTTATTATAAAGTACGGGTGGCAACCCTAATTGAGATCTTACAAAGTAGCTTAGCAGGACCTTAAGTGTATTTTATTTATAGGTTGATGATAGTGAGGTCTCAGGTTCGTTTCCTAAATGGTTTCGACCATAAATTCATCGAGACAATTTAATCACAAGGGATTGCAAAAAGTAATTTAACTGGATAGGAGTAAAAATAAGGTCTACATAATAATATTATAATATCTACATAGGTATTCAGTTTACTATCAAATTGCCAGTCATTATTATACACAGCTTAAAGATTTATTTAATTTACATTAGAGCACTGCAATGTTTACAGAGATTATAAAATTAAACTATAAAGATAGTAAATCCGTTTACCTTTCAACATTTTTTATTTACCTCTTAAATTATTTGAGTTGTGATAAAAGGTTCATAGCCTTCTTGCTTTCTTATCGTGACTAGACAAATGACTAACTAATAAGTTATGTGCTCCTAATACCAGACAGCAGAAATTGACGGTCAACTTTGCTTATGACCTTTATTATGTTTAAAGAAATCATTAAATATTTTTTGTAACGCATTATTTATTTATTTATTCATTATTAGATACATAATTATATCAAGATATCACAGGCTACAGGATACATGGATATTATTTTCACTCGCCTTTGTCATAATTTTATTCGGTACGTTTAATTTTGTTTTTATTCCTTCAGGAAATGCCCAAGCGACAAGCAGACTACGGCGAGTAGCCTCCAAGCTGTGCAGTACAGAGTCATGGAAGAGAAGGCTACCCATCACAATATGGCTGCCCAAATACAGCTTCGAATATTTACTACGAGACGCCATAGCAGGTAATAATATGTCTTATTTAAACCTCTTTTATGTTTCTGGTATCCTGGTAGCTGAAATTAAGACAATGCAAACTAAACTAAATTCAAATACTAGGTCATTATTTCTTTTGGGCTGATGCCGATACGGAGCCGCGGAAGACTTAACAACGGGTTGCCGGGGCTCCGGCTCGAAGTGCAGGAGTAGAAACGGGGTGGTTTTTAGTCAATAAGAGTCTGACACTCCCTCCCGCCTCACCCGGGCGGGAGAAGTCAAATGATTATCCCCCACCCCCCCTCAAAAAGGTCATTATTTCTTTTGGAAATTAACACAAACATATCAACGTTTTGTTTAATTAATGTGTATCACTTAACAAGGTTCATTAATATCAAAAATATTTTGGGTTGCAAATGTTATTGTAATTCGACAAAGATGGGTTATCAAGTAGTTAGTTGCAATGAATAACTTAATCATTAGTAAATACAGCTTTCTTTGTAATTGCATTTTGTTGGCAATGTACACCCGGATTCGTTTTAATTCTAACACAGGCATTGTTTGTTCCTATTCTGAGCTATAGTATAAATCAGTCACTCAAGAAATATCGCGCTATATCTAGAATATGCAATGAACATGTGAATCCTTTTAAGAAAAGCACTTGAGTAGGAAAATACGCGAAAAACCTGATTGAGGATTTTGGACAAGGACAAACGAGTTCTTATTAACATGGTAGGTATATAGGTCCTTGCCTCTGTACCCAATTCAGTGGAGTTCGGTCGCCTGACCGACAATTGAACCGGTTGAGTAATGACGTAACGTTCGATAACCAGTGTGTATGCGTAATGTTTCCGTTTCTATTATCATAATATTTGATTATTTTTCCTTGTACATCCGATAAATATGAAAAATTAACTAATTTACATTATGTAGTAGACAATGCAAAAATGCACTTTAAAAACTTTAAGTATGGGAGAGCTATGCTTCGGCACGAATGGGCCAGCTCGACCGGAGTGATACCACGGCCGAGCACAAAACCGACGTGACACAACGCTTGCGTTGTGTTTCGTCACGTGAGTGAGGTTGCCGGAGGCCCAATCACCCTCCCCTTTCCCAATCTTCCCAATCCCTGAATCCCCCACGATCCTCAAACTCCTAATCCCCAAAAAGCCGGTAATGTACCTACTTGTAACGCCTCTGGTGTTCCAGGTGTCCATGGGCGATGCCGATTGCTTACCATCAGGTGATCTGTCTGCTCGCTTTCCGGCTTATGTCATAAAAAAGTCTTTATTAGATGTCTGTCATATGATAGTTATCATCAAATGGGATGAGAGTTTATAATTAACTCTGTGATTATAAGTCGTTATTAAAATTAAACTCCAGTCTCTATAATGAACTCATTCACTTATACCTAAGACATCAATCAGCAATTCAATAAAATGCTTTCATTTTCATTCTGATAAATCTTGCTCGTGTGGTGTACTAGGGTCACAGAAGTTCGGACAAGTATTTAAACTTCATTTTAGGTTAGTGAGAAAATAATAAACACATTAACTCGTTAAGTGCCAACTAATAACCATAATATCCTGCGCGTTCAGAATTTTAATTGTCTATTTGTGACGTCGAATGTAAACTGCATGAACATCCACTGACTGGGTGTAAACTAAGCACGTCTGGGATTTATAGATAATCTGTGAATACAATAAATGTTATCTTATCTTCCCACGGAGTTGTGGAAACAAAGGAATTTAATTAAAATCCGCCTGTTTGTGTTCTAAACTGGTGTGAAGTAGATCTGTGTAGATAAAAACGGCTTTATATGATCCACAATTATTTAGATATGGTCATGCGCCGGATCAGTGACCTGCTAGGAATAGGATATCTTTGAATTCGAAAGATCGAAATCAACTCGATTGCGATCCGCCATCTTATTGGTTGTGAGAATAATCTCGACCAATGACGGACAAGAAAGCGATTAAGTTCACTTCGATCTTTTATATTTCATTTGATTTCTTCACTTCAATTGGTTGGTTTAGCTAGCTTCAATTTATAACATTTACGAACTGAGACTGAATTGGGTCAAATATAAATTATTTCGACTGTTGAATACAATAAAATATAAAAAAATAATCACACCTTGTATTAATTGATTTTATGACTAACTTAATTTAAATATTTTTCAATCAATTTTTTAAGAAATAAGTATGCTGTTTGTCGCTAAAAAAACGTTACGTCACTATACACAATCTCGTACAAAATTCATAGAAAACTGTACTTTTTGACACTTCGAAAAAGTATTGAATTTGACTAGTTGACTAGTACCCAATTGCGAGCATATAGGTACCTAGTTTATGTATGTATAATTGTATACATACACTGTTATATATATATTATGGTTAAGTATAATTGATTAACTTGAATTAATCGCCTTGGCATTGCGCAATTGAATTACATATTATTATATTCAATTTCTAGTGCTACAATGGTCATATTATTGTTCAGTCGTATTTTATTTTTTAATTAATGGTAGTTGTTTATAGGTACATCTACTAGTACCTAATTGATGTGATGCTTATGATGTCCTAGTATTGCCTTGTCCTAATTACATTGCTTTTATTACTATAACTAATTTATGTCTAAAAACAACTGGAGATTTTTATCATCAGAATTTATTGAGGAAAATAAATATAAGGTTTTTTTTATAATCTTGTGAATGAAAAATAGTTTTGAAATGTTATGTCAAAACGGCCAAATATGGCTGCGTGGAGAAGGAAACTATAATATATGTATTTTATGATCTCAATCTGTGTTTATAGGTATCACAGTGGGTCTGACATCAATACCACAGGGCATCGCATATGCTATGGTCGCTGGTTTGCCTCCACAGGTAAAAAATATTTGAGTATATTCTTATCAGATTTGACTACACGGTTGGTACGGTGGCTGGGCAACCGTCTGCCGCACAACGTGCCGCGGGTTCGATTCCTATACGGAACAACTCTTTGTGTGATTTGTGACATTATGTGAACTTGTATGTTTGTAAACGCGCCTACGACACAGGAGAAATTCCTAGTATCGGGCAATTTAAAAAAAAATCAGTACTTGAGAAATTAAACACAATCATACTATGTATGTACTCATATACATATTTACTACAATTTTATAATATCATCATTAAACAAACCCATTTTTTCTCCATTCTTCTGAGGCCATCCAAATTTTGTTGTATTCCAGGTGGGCCTCTACTCCAGCATATTCCCCGGCCTCATGTACATGCTGTTCGGAAGCTGCAAGGATGTCACAGTGGGTCCCACCGCTATCCTAGCAGCATTGCTTGCCAAATACGTCGCCAAATCAGCTGATTTCGCATATCTGGCTGCTTTTCTATCAGGATGCTTTATACTTCTTCTTGGGATACTACAATTAGGTGAGTAGCTTGTTCTGAAAGGTTAAGAAAATTAGGGAATGTTTTGTGGACTACAAAGATCACTAATCAGGGCCTTTAGCTAAACGCCACTTCAGCGCTTGTCTACAGACATAGTAGAAATCAAAATGTATGAGGATGACACTTACAAGTGTCAAAATTTACATCAATTCCATATAATTTGGTTTTCTATTCTACATGTAGACAAGCGCTAAATGGCATTTGGCTATAGTTCTTATTCGCATTATCTTTAATTTTTTATCCTTAAACCCGTGTTTACCTCAAAAAGTAACTTTGTACAGAAGATTTCATTGACCTTAATGTGTCGTGTAAACTTTATCGATTTATGAGTACCTGGTGTTATGGCCCGGTGCCATGTTACTCTTTCCTTAATACTAAAAGTAGGCTTTCTGGTTTTAAGGAAATACCGCATTACTTACTTACTGGTTTTTGTGCAGTATGTTTTGTGTAATTTGCACCTTTATCTACTCCTAAAAATGGGGATAAATGGACGAGTTTCCTTTGTTATCTTATCACATGGCCCTTGAAGTCAAGAAGGTGCCACCTCGAACACGCACGTGATGACTTGTAAAATAATCCTTGTAAGCAGTTCTACTGCTTTTAACTCAAGTAGTCGTCCTAATAATAACGATATTAAATAAGTTTTAATGGACTTACTTTGCCCCAGTTATATTATTTTGATAAATTGCAATTATAGTAGTCGGTAGCTGTTGAAATGTAACAAAAATTTGAAATTGGATTTTATTTAATATGAAACAACTTCGTTGATGACTTCGTCTATTAAAACACTCAACTTTTTAAATAAATTGGTTTTGTATTTTCGATTTCCTAAATACATAGTACCTACTTGCCTATTCTGCGATACTTGTCTATTTAGTCATAAGTATAATAATAATTATCGTTTACAATTCTATTGTAAACCTTATCACATGTTAATAAGGTGTACACAAATGGCATAATGTAGTTTATAGGTATTACATCGTTGAATGAAAACAACTATGCGTACTTAGTACTTGGTTAGAATTACAACTAAATTCTTTTACATACTTCATGAGTCACAAACATAAAAATGAAACCGTCAATCGAGAATATCGCGTTGCATCGCGTATTCAAATTTCTCCATTTGCATATCTATCGAATGTAAACAACTCCTTCGGCATCTGTCGCCCTGTTACGCAAAGAGAAAGTGCTGTTTATGCTAATGTGTGAAGACACTGAACTTCTTGAGTTCAATGCAATGAATGATTTTTGTTGATAACTGTGAATTGATTGGAGTAATTAGTACTCTACTGTCTATCTTTATTATTTGCTCGTGTTAAAACGTGATTTACACATTTTTAAGTGACAATATTATGTAGCGTAAAATTATTTCTCGTCTTTCTTAGGTCTTTGAGCTTTAAAATACCAGGCAATCAGCACGTCATAGAAGTAAACCCATTGTAAAGACAATAATTATAATGTATCTATTTACAATAGGTGCTGTAGGACCAAATTCATCGTTTTCTAGCTTATACTGGCTGAAGTAGCCTTGAGGTGTTTTAGCAACAACTTTTTGTTCAACAACTTTTTTGATTAAGAGCTATTGTACTTATTGGGACTAATTTTATTAATTTAGCCTTGAACTCATTATAGAAGCGAGAATGTAACTGTGCATTCGTGCATGAAATTAAATATAGTTTCAGGAGCAATGCGATGAAAAGTAATGTAGTGATACAAAATGAAAGAAAATTAGGAAAACTAGAGATTGGTGTCTAGAAGTACCTACCTATTAATAAATATGACAAGATGCATAAATACGGGGAAAGCGTAGAAATAAAATATTGTTGCTCGATGGTTAATAAAGTACTTTTGTTTTACTAACTATAATGATGTTATTTTGTCTATCTACAGGTTTTCTTCTGGACTTTATATCAAAACCAGTGATCAGTGGGTTCACGACGGCAGCCGCCTTACAGATAAGCGCATCACAGCTCAAGTCTTTGTTTAGGATATCAGGTAAGAGAAAGAAAAACGTTTTTAAGAATTTTTCTCATCATGGGAAGTAATTATAAGTACTAGCTGACTCGGCAAACTTCGTACCGCCTCTAAATAGTTTTCTCACCTTTTAAACCTTGCCTGGACTTCCGTAAACATTTCAAGACCGAGTTTTAGCGATACTAACGACCCATTAAATACCCAACTAAATTCATTTTTTATTATCACTTATATTATGTAGATAGATTACCGTGGACTGCTGGCTCTAGCCTGTTCTATCAGCACGCCACAGAGACTTGATCTTTAGATCTTCGTGTCCAAAGATTGCCAGCCAAATCACTTTATAATCAATAGAAACTTGAATCAACTGTGCTGGATATAATAGTCCAATCACTTTACTATTTGAATTCATTAAATTCGTAAATTTTTTGACTTAAAAGGAAATGCCGATTCTCACATTAGCGAATTAGATTCGTTTAAAACTTTATTGGATTGACAATTATAAATCTAAAAATTACACATTATAAAATTGGCCAATTATAACGAATCTGTTTGTTTCATTATATATGAAACTAATTTACTATAATATCACCTGTTATTTGATGGGATTGCTTCTTCTTATCAGAATACTTTTTGCCATTACAGGTTCATCAGGCAACACATTCTTTGATGCCCTCATAAACTTCTTTGAAAACATCAAGACAGTACAGTTATGGGACACAGTGTTAGGAATCAGCACCATTATTGCCTTACTCCTACTCAAAGTAAGTGGTGCAATGATATTTCTTAGTCTAATCTTTAACTATTTCGTAAATTAATCGAGATAGGAAAAAAGTTTCTTAATTTTCTGGCTAATTTGGCTCGTGTTGATCGAGTTTGAAATGTATTCAAGGTCTCAGCATTGATTCTTGTCTTCTGAATTTCCCAATAGTAGGTATCAGGGAAAACAGTAAATTGTTTTTTCATTTCCTTTTATTCGGGACTTGTATTGAAGAAAATTGGTGCTAATGATACATTTTTATACCTTTCTGTCCAATATTTCTCAGCGGGCTACGATCAAAGTATCAGACACGGCGACACCATGTTCTACCCGGATGGCGGCGTGCTGGCTCAATGTAGTGCGCGCACGGAACGCGCTCGTGGTCTTCGCAGCCGCCATACTTGCTTTTGTTCTCAATTTAAAAGGCATCACGCCCTTTGCACTTACAGGTTAGTAACTTCTTGCATGTAATGCACTCCTGGTAGGCATTGAACCAATTTGCTTTACATTTGAAATTGACTTTAGTTTCTAATTCTTCTTACCAACACTCTATGATATAGTTATGTGAAAAAGTAATTCACCTTCCATATTTAAGTAGTGATTTTATTAAATAAAAGAAAATAAAGAAAGAAAGTCAAAATGTTTTCTGTGTAACTAAATGAATTTTGCAGACTTCTTTGCTCGTTGTACGCCTGGTCCCATAATACACTGAAAATGTCAAGTAAACAAAATGCATTTTGATTTTCCACTATACCACAACCACGGAGCGGCCATTAATTAAATTTTACTTTCTTAGGTACAATTCAGGGTGGTCTGCCCAAATTCGGGCCACCTCCATTCAGTACGGTGGTTAATAACCAGACACTTAACTTCGAGGATATGTTGACCGTTTTCGGAGGAGAAGGAATTGTGATGCCACTCGTTGCTATACTGGAGAGCATAGCTATTGCTAAGGCATTTGGTAAGGGCACATGACAGAATTCTTCCATTCTCTGTTCTGCGAGATTTATTTATAAAATTCCATTATGAGAGAAGAATTACTTCTATAAATTTCGATTGGTTTTATTTTTTCCCTTGTTGCTTTCTTAGCGACGCCATGAGTCAAGTTTTGTCCAGGGATCCCTGTCGAAATATTATTATTTGTATCAGGGTTGTTGCTGATGCAGGATTTTGTCACATCAGCGGATGCTGATGCTGATGCTGATGCTGATTTATTGTAATTTACATCAGCTGATGCTGATGCTGATGCTGATTTTAAGTTTTTTTTATACCTACTCAATTTTATACATTTTTAGGTACCTAAATATTATATTTTCATCGACCTACTTTTAATAAAAGATTTATTTTAATAATTATATAACTTTTTAATGAAGAAAAACAATCAACAAATACGTAAAAACTAGTTAAGCAATAAATTACCTATTATTAATACTGGAATTCTATTAACGGCAAGTTGTATTTTAAAAACAAAAACTGAGCTGCTTTTTCAGCTTGCAGTCTGTTGCGGGTAGGTTTGTATAATGCCGGCACTGCTGAATAACTGTTTGCTAGTCAGGCGGAGGTGACAGGATAGGTACTGCACTTTTCTTGCAATGCTTACAATGATCGACGAAATGTTATGAAATATATGTATTTTGTTGGGCCAAAACTGGGAAGCGACAGCAGCACGTGCCATTAACTCCGCCCCCTGCCGGTCATGTCGCCATACGAACTTTGAACATCAGCATCTAACATCAGCAACAATTAATGCGGATGCTGATGCTGATGCTGATGTGTACAATAATGCTGATATTCCGCTGATGCTGATGCTGATGCTGATATTTGCAACAACCCTGGTAGGTAC